AAATGCTAAGATAAAAATAAGATTTATATAATGCTAAAATAAAGATGAGTTTTATAAAATGCTAAGATAAATTTTTAATGCTAAGGTATGATAAGATTTATCAGATTTTGTAAGTGGTTTATTTCACAAAAAACATAATTTTACAATTTCGGTACTAATGCGGTTCATAAACTTTCATGAACAACCGATCAATCCGTGTTTCTTTCTTATATGGTTATTTATAATTCTTTGGAATGTTTTTAGAATTCACAGCATGCAGCTACTCCAGAAAAATCAAATTTTATTATTCTGGATTAGAAATAAACGCGCTAAGATTATATAATAACATATTTTGTAAATGGTTCAATGCGTTCTCTTTCACCGATACGGCAGACATATGTGCTTTACTTCAAGATTTATAAGGTATTTCTCGCACTTCCCTAGCGTGCCCTTCGTGGTGTAACGGTAGCACGCGGGGCCGGTATTCCAGAGGTCTTTGTTCGATGCCCGGCGAAGGCGGTTGCATATTTTTGATCTTTTCTGCTTCTAATTAACACATCCAACGAATGATAGAACACTTTACTATCGTTTCATAATCAAACACCCGCCAGCTATAAGGAGCATCTGCGCAGTTGTACAGCAAATCAACGCCCTAGGGCAAGACATTTGCGAGCCACAGTAGCATGGTACTGCAGACAATGTACTCAACTATTAGATATTCGCAGTATGTACACATTCTGTAATACACATTCCACATTCAATTTCGAGCCTCGTGTTAACATCTGCTTTCAATAGCCACCAACTTGCAGATATAATGTTACTGACATGTTTATCAGTGTGAAGCACTGGGCACCCAATGGAATGATGTGTTATCGTAAATCGAAATATATAATATCCGTACAATGCACGAATGTAGTGTATGCAACGAAATATGTAATTCATGCAACAGAAGCCCCTAATGAAAGTATGTACATTATGTATTATGGGAACTGAGCATATTTCCGCACAGCACTACTGCTTTACGCACACCTTACTATGTCTTATATGTTTCCTCTGAGTGTAATATTTTGCATTTATGTGCTCTACGTGTTTCCATATGTATTCTATGTGTCATGATATGTATTTTCGTGTGTGTTTCTATGTCTTTATGTTACGTAATTACGAGTGTGTTTTTATGCTTTACGTTTAATTCTGTATATCTATGTGTTTCAGCTTATATGAGTGTTTTTAGTGTTTTAAATGCTATCCTTTATATTCTTTCTAAGTTACTTTGTGTTATTAACAACGTCCTATGTAAAAACTACCCGACATCTAGCCCCTGTATGGCCATGTAAACTCCTGGTGCAGCCTCACGGGGCTCCAGCGAGTTGCTTCTTCGAGATAGTGGAGGACGTGGGACATATGCCTGTTTACCTATGTTATACGTCAGGCGTCCCCGTCCTCCGTCACCTGTCACCTGCTTCTAATTAACCTAATGACTCTACAGGTTTACTTAGATGCCTTTATTTTCCTTCAACTACGACATCAAGTTCAGTTGAATAAAAACAGTGACGATTACCACTTCAAGAGCACAGTTACCCACATACAAAGGCTATTTCCCAGAGTATCTTAATCAAAATTTGCCACAAATTTACAGATCATTTACCGTAGTATCTCAATCAAAATGTGCCGCAAAGACAGAGACCATTATCCAGAGTATCTTAATCGAAATATTCGCAAAGACCGAGGTCATTTGTCAGAGTATCTCAATCCAAAATTTGAGACAAAGACAGAGACCATTTGCCAGATTATCTCAATCAAAATTTGCCACAAAGACAGAGACCATTTGCCAGATTATCTCAATCAAAATTTGCCACAAAGACAGAGACCATTTGCCAGATTATCTCAATGAAAATTTGCCACAAAGACAGAGACCATTTGCCAGATTATCTCAATGAAAATTTGCCACAAAGACAGATACCATTATATAATTAATGTCAGTTTTGTAACTGAAAATTTAATCCCATGTGATATTTTCTTCTTGGTAGTTCCTCCATAATACTACTTTTATGGCACCATTTCTGATTTTCTCGAGGATCATTTCCCAACTTACTGACACCGGCACTCTAGTGAACCTTGATGTAAAGGCACGACGGTAGCGGAAAACAGATGATCCCATAAATGCTGTATCAGCAAAGGTAGACTTTGAGTATTTGTGCAGCATGCGGAAACAAATTGTTACGTTTACCTTTATTGTTACGTTTACCTAACTAAACGTAACAATTGCGTTAACTAAACGCAATTGTTACGTTTAGTTAGTACAATAAAATATATCATTTTCATACTTTCTTTTTTTTTTCAGACTATAGTAATTTTTTACATATTATATCAATATTATTTTCACATGGACCATATTCCAAAATTGAATCCTCATATTATAAGGTATTTCTCCCACTTCCCTAGAGTGCTTTCGTGGTGTAATGGTAACACGCTGGGCCGGTATTCCAGAGGTCCGTGGTTCGATTCCCGGCGAAGGCGTTTGTTATTTTTCATCGTTTCTGCTTCCAATTAACCTAATGACTCTACAGTATATTCCCTCTGTGATGTCCGTAATCCCGGCTATGGCCTTGCAAATCCTCCGAGGATTCCCGCTAATAAAAATCGGACTTTATAAAGCATTATACAGTTGAGTTCTAAATCATGCGTGGCATCTAACAGAGGTTTTGACTTAATTATATCCTTCCTAATTTATATTCCTATCCAAGTTTTCACATGTTTCAACTTTGTTTATAGCTTTTTAAAGGACCTCCTCCTTATAATAAAATCTAAAAACTTTTATTCTGACCTAATTTAAAGGTTCAGTGCCAGGCATAATATTTGTAAGAAAATGAAATGATATTATGTTTTTTAAGTGACGATCAAGTAGTTGCATTTGCCATTCATGAGTTCGTATTGTTATCGTAAGTGGACTGCTAAATGCTTTACTCCTCTCTAACATCGGCCCACCAGCGGCCGAGCGGTAACCTCGCTGAACACTGGTAGTTCGGTCCGAGGTTCGAATCCCGCGAACGGGCTGCCTGCATGGGTGTTTTCGTGGTTTTCCCCATGTGTAACGTGTATACGAGCCAGTTTCCCTTAGAAAGTCCCCCACGAAGGCATCCCTCCCCTTAGGCAGATAGTCCTAGTGTTTTTTGCCATAATTAAATGCACCACACCTCTCTAACATCAAAGCTATTTGCTTACATAAGAAATCAAGCTTACTTTCAGACGCTATAAAACTGATATAGATAATTTTATGTTCGTCAAAAATATTAAATTCTATATGCCGTCTTTGGTATATTTTATCAGAAGACTCAGCACTTAGTACATCTTTTCCAAGGGCTTCAAAAATTTGATCCGCCAGATTTTTGGTAATTAGTTTCAATACCTGGATTCTCTAGTTAGTTTTTCAAATAAAATTTTTGTGTCCAAGTTTCTCATATGCTGCCTGTTAAAATTATTTAAATATGAAAATACGGATGACAATGATTCTTTTTAATAGAACCGATGGTCACAATTTTAAGTAGAATTTTATATACGAAGTAACAGTTTATCTAACACAATATGGGTGTCCGCCGATAACATCGCGGCAAAAACATGGCGGACGAAAACGTCGCGGAGAAAACAACGCAAGGCGAAAACGTCGTGCTACAAAACATCGTGGGAGAAAACATCGCAAAAAGAAAACATCGCAGTTCTAAAACATCGTGGTACAAAACATCGTCGTCGAAAATAAAGCGGTTCAAAAACTTCGCAGTTTAAAAACATCGTCGTCGAAAATATCGTGGTAAAAAATAAAGTATCTACAAATCATCGCATGACCATAACATCGCAGACAAGCTTTATTCAGGCTTTAATAATTGTAAATGGATATTCCCATAATGATTTGTGAGCGTAAGATGTAAAAAAGGATAATTTTTACTTTCATATTTTTTTATTAAATATTAAATTTTTGCTGAGAAAATAAGAAGAAAACTTAAGCATAGAAAATTAATGCAACTTATAGCACTTAATAGAATTTTAAATCGACATAGTTAACTACTAACAAAGACCATTAATAAATAATTTTTTATAAAGATTTTACAGGTAATTTTTCATAAAAAGTATAATCTATTAAGTTGCATTTAATTTTCTATGCTTAAGTTTCCTTGTTATTTTTTCAGCAAAAATTTATTAGTTAATAAAGAAAAGGGAAAGTAAAAATTATCCTTCCTTACATCACTTGGGCTCACAAATCATTATGGGAATATCCATTTACAGTTATTAAAGCCTGAAAAAAGCATGTCTGCGATGTTATCGTCATGCGATGATTTGTAGATACTTTATTTTTTACCACGATATTTTCAACGGCGATGTTTTTAAACTGCGAAGTTTTTGAACCGCTTTATTTTCGACGACGATGTTTTGTACCACGATGTTTTAGAACTGCGATGTTTTCTCTTTGCGATGTTTTCTCCCACGATGTTTTGTAGCACGACTTTTCGCCTTGCGTTGTTTTCTCCGCGACGTTTTCGTCCGCGATGTTTTTGCCGTGATGTTTTCGGCTGTAACCACAATATGTGGCGGAATGGGAAAACGAACATATAGTACGAACGATGACGAATCTCGTTTCCAACATACAGATTGAGTCTCTTGATGACCGCTTCACCAGAGTTAACAATGCTGCTACAGATATGTGTCACATACCAAGTATCTTCCACAACGTACCCAAGTCATTTTATTATGATACATGTGTTGAAAGTAGTAGTTGTTCCTTCGAACAATTTTTAAAAATATCAAACACCGTTAACTGTAAACATATGCGATTAAAACTTTCCATTTTCCTTTCATATTTTACATTCCGTAACATACTGTATTAAGAAAATTGTTAATTTTACCCTGTTCCTCATGAAGTTGCGGCTATTAATCATATATATTCCCAGGGTATGAAAGATTCCTTTTTCTTCTGCTAACTTTCTGTTATGATAATGCTAAATACTAAATGGAATTCTCTTTTTGATCAGGGTGCACCGGCGCTTGGTGTCTACCTATGAAAGTGCATCCCTACGGCGGTTCCAAAATGGCAGGGTGGACAACATTCGAGCAGCCACAGCTGAGGCCTTAACCTGGGTGAAGGTGATGTGTGACGATCAACAAGTTACCGTAAGTTGTTTTGCATCTAAAATTCTCCTGAATGTATCGGCGTTTGAGTCAATTCCTTTCATTTTCAATTATATATTTAATATACTAAGCAAGCATTCAAACTTCTTTCAATTTAAATAAAATTTCTCTTTTTCAGTTTAAAAAATTTATTGATAAGGCATATTTCTGTCAATGGTTTACCTCATTAAAAAATAATATTTAGTTAACTCAGATTATTTGTCAATCATAGATTCGTTAAAATTTTAATTGATTTTGGTTTTTATTCTAACCTCATATATGCTTTTATGTTGAATTTCTATTAAATAGTTAACAGTTGAACTTATTATTCAGATGCAATAAACACAATATCTCTACATATAATAAAAGAAAGAGTCTGTCTGTGTGTGTGTGCCTTTCGTTTGCGCTGCGCGTAAGCTAATAGACCCACGGCTACGAAATTTGGTACATAGGTGCATCTAGACAACAACCAGTGCACCTCGAAGCGATTTTTCGAAATTTGAATTCGAATTTTTTTTATTTTATGTTTTGTGACGAAATCGTGTCATTTTCAGACATAACGCGCTATAAAAAAGCGAGATTTTACTCTACACACTCCATTTTCACATCGTCATGAAACGTAGGAACTTAGCCATTTTACGAACTTAAAATAAATTTCGTGTTTCAATAAATGGATTATATACGAATTTATTTAACAAAGTGAGCTTAACACCTTTTCAACGGGATTTTTTCTAAGGTTAATTTTTAAAAATGTACAGTTTATTTTTCTTTGATTTTTTAACACGTTAAACTTTCATCCTTGCGACTGCTTTTACAAAAGGAATTTGGGAAAAATGATAATATTTTGTATTTTTTAAAAACAAAATTTAAATGAAGCTTCCGAGTACACTTCTCACATCTCACATCTTTAAAAATGTGATTTTGGCAACAATTTTCTTGTCTTATTGTTGTTGATAGATTTTTGATGAAATCGCATCATTTTGAATAGTTTCATTCTTTTAGAAATATGGGTTTGGTAACAATCCATCGTATTTCTTATGTCACTGTTTTTAAGAGATTGGCATATTTCATTGTTATTTTTATATATATAATACATTTTTATATTTAATAAATAAAGGTAACACACAAAACGTTAAAAAAACGCTCCTTTGGACGTAATTTAAAATGTGAAACCTTTCAGATTTTTTTTTAATTTATTATTTAAATAAATAAATTTATTTATTTGATGATGTTGTTCTTCAAAGTAAAATACTGCGCAGTTTTTAAATTTAACGTTTGGTGTTCCCTTCAGGCATATTTCCTGTACATTTTAAAAGCCAGACGAAGGCTGGCAGCGTAGCTGCTATTTAACAATAAAACAACCTCAAATATTTTCAACTAGCTCGATTATTTTCAAAGAGTTTGTCAGTTCTCTGTTGTAGAAATAAAATTAATTTCCTCCAATAAATATAACATAATAGCAAATAACTGAATGATCAAAGAAGTTTGAATATAATTTTGAAAATATTCTCCAATGATAAATCATCACGCAATCTACAGACAACCGATCTAGTATCTTATGAAGCTGGAGACAAGTCAAAATTGCGTGCTCTTTTTAAGTTATTTTGAAAGGAAAATTTAAAAATTTTGAAAACTTTCAGATTTTATATTTCGCCCATTAAGTCGTCTTTTTTTTTTTTTTTTTTTTTTTTTTTTTTTTTTTTTTTTCATTTGCACATACATACACGTCTCTAGAGCATTTGGATGCTAAAAATATTTAAAAGCTAAAAATATGAGCTAAAATATTTAAAAGCAGCATATCTTTAGGATTTCCGATAGACAGTCTAGCGCTCTGGAGATAATAATAGTTCATTCCGCACAATGTGTTGCCACTGCGTGCTTTAAAAATTGATGAATTGGTTAATCAAAAATTCATTACGATTTTACAAAATATGAAACATGCAATAAAACAAATTCCAAATTCGTGCTTTCAGGTGCCCATATTCCGAAGGAGGACTGCGTTATTCAAATTTTGTTGGCTCTGGATATCGTTGTTTTTTCATAGTGCGAGAAACACGCGTTGTATTCGTTTATAGTGATTCGACGCAAAGTGCTGAATCGAGACTAATACTGGACTAACTCCGTTTGAGATAATAAATATTCTATAATTTTAGAATACAACTGGGATTTTGTAAAATGGATTTAATTTTATGAGACTTTACAGAATCAGCAGTTTCGCACATTTCTGTCTAAATTTCTCCATACTTTTACCAAAGCTCTTAATTTTAATAGATGCAAATTCAATCAAATTATTTATAAAAAAGTAAAATACATGTTATAAAAATTCTCTTTTAATTTAATACTAAAAAGCAACTAAGGCACAGTTGGAAATTTTATGCAATATATTCACGAAATAGTGCACTTCCTTTATTTATTTCTTAAAAATATTATTAAAATTAAGCTTTTAATCGAAAGGATTTATAATAATTTTGTTTTAAAATCTTACTATAAAAAATAAGTATTATGTTTCGATTTCGAATAAAAATAATAACTTTACGGTAAGACAGGTATAATTTTTATAATTTGCATACTTTCATTTGCAGGAGGAGACCAAAGTGAAATTATTTCAAGAATGTATTAAAAAACAAACTGAAATTCTTCTCTACGTAAGTAACATTTTGAAATTAAACATTTATCATTTTGATTACTATTTCGAACTTGATGAACCTTTATTGCCTAAGCAAAATATCTGAAATATGCCAATAGCATTGAGTAAAATGGCTAAATAACAAACGCTTAAAATATAAAATAGCAGAAGTAAATTCTTCCGAAATTTTCAAACGATTTTCTTCAAGAGCAGTAATATTGAAATTTGTAAAGCAATTCTACCAAATCTTTAGTCTTCTGTAGCGTACTATCCAGTTCCGTAAAACAAATAATGTCTTTTCTTCGTTGCCATTAAATATTTCACTTTTTCTGCTCTGTTATTTGTCGATGAATAATAATTCCGACTGGAGGAAAATTTTGAAAACGTTGTTCGTTTTTACAACTGATGATTTGTGAACTGTAATTTTGACCAGAAATTCGAAAGTTTCCTCTTAAATGTGATCTTTACTGAGTTTTGTGTTCAAAAGATATGACTTCTTAATGGTATAAAATATAAATAAGGTTTCGTGAACCTAATATTCTCTCTGCTGTTTTCTTTAAATCATAATTTATTTTTATAACTTTTGTAAGTAGTAGCAAAGAAATAAACCTTAAGGGGGCTCATACACCTTATACCCCTTATGGTCTTCGAATATATAACTGTTGCAGGAACTGTGATATTTTATTTATTTTAGAAGCAATTACTTCCAACCTTTTACAGCTGGATACATAATATAGCTGCTTCGGGAACTAGTAACCAGAAAGTTTGTGTTGCAAAAATATTTTTGTAATTTAATCCGCTTTATGACAAAAGTTTTCGTCATGTTTCCACCTTGCGTGCATGATATTTTAAAAATGGCTAACGTTCACTTAAACTCAAGATTTTACAATATACTGGAAATATTATTCTCTTCCTTAACTTACAGGAATTTTTTTAAATTTGATGGAATTATTTATATGGGCATTATTTTCTAACTGAAATAAAAATCTGATGAATGTTTCAATATGAAAAAAAATTTATGCACGAAAACATTACAGATTTTTTAATAAAATATATTTTATAAACTCAACTCCAAATAAAATAAAAATTTAATATGAAATTCTCAGAATTTTTGGTTCACAGTAGTTTCCAAATGTTATAAAAGCTGTATATTAAATATGGAATTAAATTATGCAACAGAATATTTTAAACTGTGCGCGCAAGGTGAAAACATGACGAAAACTTTTGTCACAAAGCGGATTAAATTATAAAAATATTTGTGGCAACACAAACTTTCTGATTACTATTTAAGAAAGAAGCTATATTATGTAGTCATCTGTAAAAAGTTGAAAATAATTGCTTTTAAAATAAATAAACTATCCCAATTCTTGCAACAGTAACATATTCGATAATCTTATAGGTTTTAAGGTGTACGAGTCCCTTTGAAGTAAACGACTTCGAAAACGCTTGTTGCATGTTTCTTTACATATATCGCATTATTGCCAAGAAACAACATTTACAGTTACGGAAAATATAACCCGTACACACCATTCTTCTTTACCAAGAAAGAACAAAATATTTGCATAAGTTGATATACTTGGTATAGTTAATAAAAACAAGGAGCTGAGTGGTGTTCAACAGAATTATGATACGTGTTTTTTTATTTTTAATTAATGTTACTAAACTGTTAACGTAAACTCAAGATTCTGCAACATATTGGAAACATTATTCTCTTCCTAAACTTACAGGAAATTTTGTTCCTTAAATCTATATTATGTACGCAACAAAGAGAAAATTGATATTACTTAACGGTGACTGGATATTACGATGCTCAAAAGGTTTTGAAATAACTTCTTTTCGTTTATATTATAGTATATATAAACGTTATATATATATATATATATATATATATATACAAATTATATTTTTCTTTTATAGACTATAAATGGGGAAGGACCCGATAACCACTTACTTGCTTTGAGAGAGATCTCAAAGTCGCAAGGAGGACAGGAACATCCCATCTTCAAAGACAAATCTTATTGGGAGTTCTTAAATTTCAGACTTTCGACTAGCCAAGTAAGTGAAACGAAATATTGTGCAGATTTCCTGACTTTCCTGACTTAAAATAATCAACTCTTTCAAGAATAGCATGCTTAACATTTATAACCTCATTTATAGTGCTGTATTCATAGTGCCATACGTGGCGTTATAAATACAGCATGACATATGGAGCGTTATAAATACAGCATTGTAATGCCATTTATAATACTGTATTTACAATGGTATGTATAATGCTGTATTTATAATGCAGTGCTTACATTTATAATATCATGTATTAATAATGCTACTGACAACTGAGTCTTAAGTTATTAAGTTAAGAATTATCTTAAGGTACATTATATATTGCATTGCATTTTTGAAACATCTAAAGATAATTTATCAAAATCCCAAATTATCTTTTTAAAAATTCTAAGTTATCGTGTTCTTCATTTAAAACTAGTATAATTAACTAGAAACATAATAATACATTCTTTTTATAAATAAATTTTAAAAAATAATTAGTACATAATTTCTATTAATAAAAATAAATAGTACATAATTTCTATAAATAAAAATAAAATAGTGCATAATTTCTATAAATAAAAAAAAATAGTAGATTCTTTCTAATAATAATAATATTATTACATTCTTTCTAATATAAATAATATTATTACATTCTTTCTAATATTAATAGTAATAGTACATTCTTTCTATTATAAATAAAAATCTGAAGCTATTTAACAATGTTCCATTGCACCTTTTTTAACCAAAACTCTTGCTTTTGCATTAAAGCTGCTGCATATTTTTTAAGCTGAACAAAGTTAAATATTATGTCTTATAATTTTTGATAGAATTAACTCCATATTTCAATTCATAGCCGCTCATCCATAGTACTAAAACAGGATGACTCTAAATACATTAATACATTTTAAAGACTCATAAGAAGTAAACTGTACAGTGGACACCAAATTTCATTACTTTGAAATAAAAGTAAACTCTCGAGAAGCATTCAATAGATTCAATTTAATTTCATAAATATTCAATACATTCCTCTTCGTTGATACGGCAGATATCTACTTCTCAATAAAAAGGTGTAATTTAATATATTGTAAGAGCGAAGGATGTAAGAGTTGAAGAAAACAATGATAATAACCTTTTTTAGTAAGTGATAATTACCTTTTACCAGCCCATTACTGCAGGGACCACAGTCGAAACCATTTACAACAGTACTTCTTGCAGAATTTGTTACACGGGTCACTTGCGAGAATAACTCAAATAAAATTTCCTATAAACTTGTTAAGAAACAAAGGAAAGGAGCTTATACATAAACGAAATGATACACTGGAAGTCATGACACATGTAAAGGTAGCGTGAACACGTGGTCATACACGTGGACATAAAGAATGATGCACATGAAGAAATGATACACTGAAAGAAATGTTGCACATAAAGATAAAGATTGATACACATGAAAATAAAGAATGATACATATGCAGGAATGATACACTAAAATACATGAAGGAATGATACACTGGAAGAACTGATGCACATGAAGATAGTGATACACATGAAGAAAACGAATGTCACACATGAAGATAAAAAATGATACACATGAAGATAAATAATGATATACTGGAAGCAATCATACATATGAAACAAGAATACACTGAAATACATAAATGTAATGATACATGAGAAAATAATACAAGGCCCCACTAAGGCCCATGTGACTTTTTTGTGGGGGGGGTTGTTAAAGCCCCCCTCAACCCCCCATGGCATTCGATTCCCACTAATGACCAAGGTAATCGTTTCACTGGTGCTTCTTTGATCGTCTATGATAGACCACCAATAGCGTACCTGTGGCATGAAGACGTCTATTACAATAACAAAAATGTTCGCATGAATCTTTCGTAAAATACCTAAGGAAAATTTAATGAGACTTCATTTATTTCAGTTTAATAAAATTTTATTTAATATAAATTCCTTAAAGTCTTTTGTAAAATTATCAGCAATCCAGTACAGTGTTAAAACTTTATAGGACATTTTCTCCGTCCTTTCTGCATGCCTTCGTGGTGTAACGGTTACCACACTCGGCGCGTATTCGAGAGGTCAAGGTTCGAGTCGCGAAGAGGGCATTGCTCATTTTTCAACGCTCCTGCTTCAAAAAAATCCTAACGACTCTATAACTTTCTTTGTATATTGTTATTCTTCTGTCAAAAAATATTTATAATATAAAATAGTTTTATAAAATAGTTTGATTCTTAATGAATTAATAATCCATAAAGACAGTTCTTATATAAAATAATGTGCTCAGATATTTTACTATGTCTTTGTGTGTTACTAATTGAGAAACATTTATTGAATAATAATAGATTGAAAACTGCCATACTCTAAAGCAGGGATTTCCAGTCTTTTTCTTGTATTGAATATTAAAGATTGGTTTTCATCATTTGAAAAAATCGTTTTCATTATTTGAATGAATGGTTTTCATTATTTGAAAGAATGAATGGTTTTCATTATTTGAAAGAATGAATGGTTTTCATCATATGAAAGAATGGTTTTCATCATTTGAAAGAATATTTTTCATCATTTCAAAGAATGGTTTTCATCAGCGATCTCTTTACATTTTTCTCTATGATATGTAGCATGCAACATGATTATAATAGAAATAACTCCACATAAATAACTTAAAGAATACAATTAGATTAAAAATACGAACAAAAGTTTTGAAAATTAATGGTTTATTTCATTTATGTTTTATTATCTTTTAGAGTCTGGCTTGCTTTGGAAACATAAACTTGTTCCAAATTCTTAATAGACATTAAGCGAATTATCGCTGTGTCTGAAGTAACTATAGAGACTTGAAAAAGTTTAAACAATTTTTTATTAAAACAGAACTTTGAACATAAACGTAATTCTTGTGCTAACAGAATCAACCATCACTTGTAGTGGTGTAATATGTAACAGTCAATTTAAAGTGTCAAACCTAGACTAATAGTCGAAGATTATACATAATTAAATTTAAAGCTAATCTGGCTCAGAACTCTAACCAGAGTATCAAATTTAAATGTCGGCAATAATAACGCAAAGCCAAGCAATTACAAACAAAGACCTGGCTGGATCTAAGTAACGTGCCCGCAGGAGGCAAAAACACGCTGTGCTTTAAAAATCCAGAAACTTCAGATTAACCCTCCGAGCGTTGGCCGTAACGCTGAGAGGGTTAAATACTCTATAACCTTCTTTACGTTCTCGTGAGGAAACGGAAAGGAGAAATGTTCAAAAAAACTGGTTAATTTAAATAATAAATATTAAAATTTTTGTATCATTATTTTTTAAATTTCATATATTTAAATTATTTTTAATTTAACAAAGTCTGCATAAGATATATTATTGCGCGTTCGTTTATATTTGTCATAAAACTGCTTAACGTAATTCTTAAATCAGCTTGTTCAAAATTATTCATCCTGTAGGGTTTCTCGCCCTTCATCTATGATGAAACGTCGATGAACCTAGTGAGCTACGTAGCGACTGATCGCTGAGTTTAGAACAACTAAGGAGTAAACTACAGAAGACTTTTATTCACTCAAATAAGAATAACAGTCAGACTTACAGGAAAACCTCTACTCGGAATAAGAAATAAGAACTAAACTAAAGTTTAACTAAACGAGACTTAGCCGAAGATAGACACAATTATCTAACGTAGTTGGTCCTTAAATATAGTAATCCTAAAATATAGTACGCCCGAGCGTAACAGGTACGACTTAGCCAGAAGGCGCCACTAAGGACGCCTGCCACTCGCTCTCTCAATTAGTTAAACTTTCCTTAAATACTTCTTGTAACTCATTTGCATTCAAAGCAATTCTATAACCTCATTCTGGTAGGGAGTTGTAAGTGGGAACAAGACTTGAAAGGAAACGGTTTCATAATTAAAATAACTGTTATAAAATTAAAATATACCTTACAGAACTTTTACTTTTTCCTATAGTAAATTATTGACTTGATTTAAGCCTGCTTGTACTGGGTGAGAGGAGAGAAAAATCAATGACATTGGTTCGGTAACAACTTTCATTTTAGGATATTACTCATCTGTTTTGATTAATTAAGAATTGTGCTTACATATCCTCTTTCAATGTAACCGACACTTCTCGAATCATAATATTCAAGATCAGATATATTGCAGTTCAGCAGATCTACGAAACATGATGGCATATTGTAATTTTCAGTGTCTAGAGGCGAACATAAAAATCTAATTTTACAATAGGCTTTTGAGAAAATACAGTCATTTTCAGTAATACACAACTTATTAATTTAACAAAGTGCTTAAATTCTTTTCGTTTCGATATAAATAAGTCAATTTTAGAACGAAAACTGAAGCTTTCTGTTATTAAACAATTAATTATTAATTGTTATCAATGGGCATTGTACCGATCAGTTGCCAGTGCATATTCGGCTATCGACCTCTTTGTTATGTTGTAGTTAATGTGACTTGTCTGACAGCAACATTAGAACAAGCCCATGACATTCGTCGTAGCAAAGAGTGCAAAACTACGCGTGCTGTTGGCAAGAGCCTTGATCACTATACAGATGATAGTACGAATTTGCTCAGTTCCGCCCCCCCCCCTAATTTTGATGGAGAGCACCCCAGGGAGACGGGTCCAAGGGTTTCCTACCCCTCTTCCCCTACTAACAACCCCTCGAGAGGACTTTCGACTCGCCGCATGTTTAGAATATCCGCTTGCCGCACAGACAGTATACATTTACAAACATAACATACCTTCTTCAGGATTCGAACGCTAACTTTTTGGTACGGCAGTCAGAGTCAGTAACACCTACCCCATTTGTGAGGCGTGCAACCCCTTTAAAACTGATTGACTGACTGATTGACCTCCCCCCCGGGGGTCGACGTAGAGAACTCTGATAAGCTACTGGCTAGGAGCTGTACCTAGGCAGTCTCGGCCACGGGGGGTATAAAATTTATGAACTTGGTGGTTCTGAAGGCTCCGGGAAAGGTCACTTATTGGCCGGCCTCGGGGTCTGGCACGTCCTAGCGCGGCGTGGAACTGGTAGCCCGGGGCATTTACCTCGGGTACGCTGAGTAATGACCCGCTGCGACGGGCAGCCCGAGCGACTGGTGGTTAGCAAATGACGACCAGTGCCGTGCCGGGTGACTATCTGGGCGGTGCGCCTCCCTCTCTAAGAGGCCAGCGAGGAGGTTGAACTTCCGAGTCTGGTTCTAAGGAGTGGGGGGGGACCTGTAGTGCGACAATTGATTCGCGGAACAGGGAATGCCAAAAATTTTGCTTGATTGATTCCTTTAAAAAAATCAATCAGTTTTACCATTGATTGATTGACACCTACTATTGATCCTTTCAAAATTTCATCGACCCTTAAGATGTCGATGGGAATCCCTATTGTGGAGCATTCCAAGCTTATTTTGCAATGTATTTCAGAATGTATTAAGTCTCATTAAGTCCTGTCGTTGCCGTCTAATTAAGTCATGGATTTTTATCACTTGTTATTGCTTACAATACATTTGTTAAGATACTACTTTAGTTTTGTAATGCGTTTCAAAAACATAAAATACTTCAAATTAGTTTCTCATTATTACGATCTAATCACATCATGATTGTTAGTTACACATTATTCTAAAATAAGACTATTTTTTTCTAGTTGCCGACAACATATGGAATATTGGTTGGCTATGGTCCTGTCGTTCCAGACGGGTACGGTTGTTCTTATAATCCTTGTGCGGACCATATCGACTTTTGCGTTTCTTCTTTCTTCAGTTCTAAGGAGACGAGCTCTGATTTCTTTGCCCATAGCCTTGAAGGTAGCCTTTTGCACATGGGGGAGATATGTCTTAAGATGAAGCAAATGGAAGAAGAGGCAAAACGTTGTGATCAGGCGATACTAAACAAAGCGTCCACAAGAGCAGATTGAAATTAAAATATATATATATTATAGTGCTTAATTAAGGAAGCAAAATAAAAAAGGAGATTTTTTTATTATTCAAAAGAGATGATTAAGTAAATCTGGTGTCTCTGCTTGCAAATTAAGTGTAGAGAAAAAAATCAAATTATTATTATTATATATATATATCCATAGTTTAAGAGATATTAGAGTTTAAATATCATTTCGACCCACCATAATTAAATATTACCAAAGAATATAAAGTGAAAAATTGTCTGTGTAAAGTTCTAAGAGTATTTTTATATATTATAAATATAAAAGAAATGACAAAAGTTTATCGAGTTATGAGAGCGATAACTGTTTCTTAATACCAGTATATAAAATGGCAAAAATTAGCAAAATAAATTTAATAATTTTATTTATAAATTTTTGCGCTCTGAAGTGAATTCTACATCAAGAATATTTTTAATTGGATTTAATGTTCAAAACATTCGTAATTATCTAGTAAAATTTATTAAATTAAGAACATGTGTACGTTTATCAAAAACTGAATAAGAAATGATGGCATTATTTTTAATTTTCAATTGAAACGGATATGAGAAATTTGCAATTGTACTGGCATGAAAAATAAATTTTGAAAAGAAGAAAAATAAATACTACCCTTTTCTGGGGGGGTTACTAAATCAGTCATAAAGGGGGGGATTCATTCCTAGACCATTAAAACCCCACTTCAAAACAAAAATTTTTAAGTTACTAAATACGTGCTTTAGAAATGCTATTCTAAATCAAAATTGAAATCATTAAAAGAAAATTGATTTAATTTTGTGACGCACAAATATTTATAATAACTAAAATGAACTTTAACTTTCATAAGTTTATGTTCTTTTAAAATTAAGGATTATTTATATTATATTAATGGCCCATAATGAAACTTAAATGTAGCTATATTTTGAACAATTTTTAACTATTTCATTTATAATATTTAAGTACATATTTATATTATCTAAACTGAAGCAACATATTCTATGCGGTATAATTCAAAATATAATTTGAAATATTTTTATTCTACTTAAAGGTATTTTATAACGCTCATTGCAGTTTTAAAAGATTTGCGAATTAATTAATTTGGCTTTGCTACATTCAGATCTAAATTCATCGCAATCAAACATTTTACTTTGTTAAAGTATTTTGAAATTTGGTATTGAACCAAGTAAAATTTCAAATTCCACCCTCCAAGTACTGAATAAAAACAAAGGAAATTTGTATTCGATCCATTAACAAAAGAAAAAAAAAATCGCAGATATTTTTCGAGTAACGTGTATCTGATTTTGAGTATTTTAACGTACGCAATAATTTGAGTTTCGAACTAAATAAAATAAATAAAAATTTTTAATATTTAATTATTTTTCTTATTAATAAATTCCAAAATAGTTGAATGAAGATATTAATTTAAAATCATCAATATTAAGGAAATAATTTAAAGTAATATGAGTACATTAACGATTACATAATGTGTATGCTTAAAATAATCAGAATAAAACTTAATACATATTTTAGCTACAGAATCCAAAGACGTAACAAAATAATTCTATTTATTAAAGAATTTACAAATTAAGCAAGTTTTCTAAACAAATTGATAATACACCGCAGGGAAGTCAAGAAAATGTTATATTTTTAAACCAATAATGATTAATAATTGGTATGGAGCAGTTTATATTAAATAATAATTAATTTTAGTACACTCTAATTATTTGCATTTTATTTAAATTCTGATTTTTGAGATCTACGTTTCAATTAGTGTTATATAATTATACATATATTTATTGTTTCCTTAAATAAAGCTTCAAAATAATGTAATAATTAAATTTGCCTCATTAAGTTTGAATGAAAATTTTAATTTCTTTTACATTTTTATAAAGGAAGCAACTGCACATAAAAATTCTTAAACTAGTAAAAATTAAACTGCTAAAATAAATGTCTCAAGGTTTTAAATTAATGTAAATAAATTGTCTATGGGATTTATTAAGAACTGCGAGAACATTTTTTCCTGCTTTGAATAACCGAACTACAAGGCATGGTTTCATAAATTTTCAATCAATATAACCAGTATGAAATTAAAGTAGTAAATATTTAGTGTGCTTTTTGAAATAAATCGCTACCAATATGATTAAATCATTAAAAAAAGCTGAAAAACTAAACTGTGTTCAGGATTAAAATTAAAATTAATTTTATTTTAAAATTTAAATGCTTTGAAGATTAAAATGTAAAATATTTGTTAAACTAGTAGATAAATGACAAAACTCGGATTTTTTAACTGAGTTAATTTTAGAAGAAGAGAAACAATTTACAGAAAGCAGGAAAAAAAGAAGCAGTTCTGAAAGGGCAGAAAACAGCATGTAAAATGCTGGAAAATCTGTCTTGTTTTGCAAAGTTTGCTACAAGAGAGATAAAAGCTAAGTTTCGTAATATAATTATCATTTGAAAACATCACTATTCCATTTCAAAATATAGCTACACAGTATCCCAAATTATTCTAAAATTACATATTGATGTCGTAAGTTTTAAAACATGTTATTTTCAAAAAAGAGTTTCTTATGTTATAGTTCTTTCTTATTACTATGACTATGGTGGGTTGAAAATTTCAGTATTATCTGAAATCTTATGAAATATGTTTATCTTCAGCAAAGAATGTTTCAAACGTATTCTGTGAAATATGCAAGAAGATATATTTTGCAATTTATGCCTCGTTTGTTTGATGTATTATAATCAGACTTATAAACTAAAGAACTGAAACTAACTTACCAAAAAATGAATAATCTGAGTGTAAATATAAATTATAGTTGTCTGTTATAAGTTATTTACTGATAGCATTTTTGTTAAACTGAATATCTGGATTTCGTTTTTAAAACTTTCATAATTCAGTAATGTATATTTTTGTATTGAATAGTGTTTCTTTCACTACGTTATAAGTATGATGATTTTCCTTATTAATTCTGTGCTAAAACGTCTTCTTTTGTGTTCAGCTGAGCCATAATTACTCTTATAGTTATGTTAAATTCCTATATTGAAAAGCTTATTTTGTTCACTACAAAAGAAGCATATATTTACAGTATTCATTTCTAACAGGAAATATTTCATTCTATTTGTCAATCAATTTAATCAATTTGTTGATCAATTTAAAATTTATTACAAAACAATTATGTGTATGGATTGCATGTAAATACAATTTATAATCGTCTGTTATCTAAAAATAGAATTTAAAACTGTTACGTGTTGTAAATAGTAAACCATTTTCTTGCTGTTTCATTAAATATATTGATTTAAGATTTAAATTAAAGCTAATTTAACTGAGTTAATTAATCTCTGAAAGATTTTTATAATTTTCTCATAAAAAGGAAAAATTCTTTTCTGTTAATGTGTTTTGTTACCCGTTTGTGTTCATTTGCGCAACTACTTATTCATAGGTATATAGGCTATAGGCTTGGTTATAGTTAACTACTGGAAAATTCATAAGTTCCTTTGGTATAAGAATTACATAACTGTAACATGTATATTACATTAATTAATGTTATGTATATTCATGTACATTTATCGTCATAAAGAATTTATTGTTACATATTCTCCATTTTTCAGTTTCTTACTGTATAATTGAAGTTTATTTATTCATGCACATAAGCATGAATTTATATTGGCTAAATGAGTTAAATGATATTGAAAGTCAAGATGGTTGTATAGGAAAGCGCTGTGTATGGCAAATTTCATGCATGCAACTAATATATACACGAAAAATTACAAATGTTTTAAGATATAGAATATGTGTACATAAATATTTGTTTTTAATATTTTTGTTGAAATTTTAGAGATTAAGAATTCAACGTTATATTTAAAATTTATTTAATTCGTTCTGAATATTCAAATTTATACATTTAGCATTTATGAAGTGAAGAAGATGCATAATGTTACATTGAGTAAACTGTGTTAAAAGCTGTCAGAAATGATGCTACAAACTTTCAATGATACTTACACGTGCAATTTTATATTCAGTATGTTCATGTTACTTCACAAGTTATTTTAACAGCTCATAGTTTGATAAATATAAAGTTCACTTTGCTAAGAGCTGTTTGTTTGAAAACAAATATAAGCTTGTGTTACCGATGTTGGTTATTATTACTGAAGTACAAGGTGTGACAAGAACATAAAGTGCATCTCTTCTTAATTGGATAATAGGAACATTCATGTTTCCTATGACACGCTGGAGACGTTCTTCCGTGGATCAACTAACATGTGCGAATATGTTTGACATTGCATGGCATGTTTCCGTTCACGCAGCAGCTTTTTATACATGTTATTAATGCAATGCGTAACGGGACAGAGAATCACAGTAGAGTTCTGAGTCAATCTGGTAAAAACCACAATGTAAATCCCGAAAATAGTACTAACCTGCAGGTTACCGAGTTGTACCAACCTCTATATTCTCCTGACCATGGTTCAGCACACTTCCTACCCTTCCCAAAATTGTAAACTGCACCGAAAGGGTACATTTCACACAACCAAGCTACTATGACGCGGAAAGTAAAAGTAATACAAACGAAGAACTTCTTGAGACGTTTCTAAGAGTTATAAGAAAGTTGTCACAAACATATTATGACAAAAGAGAATTGTCTTTTGTTACAATATGTTTTTGACAACTGAGGCCAATGAGATGTATACCTTCAAATATTTTACACACTCAAATTTCAGTGACTTTTTGAGTGACTCACTAAGCTTTTTGATCACACCTTGTACTAGAATTATCGCGAGTAATATTTAATACCAGTTTACTTGAGCTGTGTATGACAAAAATATAATTATACCAATACCATATATGCATTATATTTATTGAGCTATGTGGATGCTCATGATGTAAATCAAAGCGATTGAAACTTTCTTAATTATTTTGTAGAAACTTTTGTGTATTTAGTTACTTGTTAAAATATTTTACAGTTGATGTACAGCGTGTAAAACCTTGTTTGCAATTCTCACAATTTTGTAGTTTATGGTTAAACAATTCTAGTAACATTTATGGTGCTATTACATATCTCTTTTGAATTAGAAAAGGCTTAATTGTATGCAATAATTCTCACGACTTTATTAAGTCTGAAATGTTAAACTTTAAGTTTTATATTCTTTATTCTTTAGTTGTTTTATCCAGGGTGCTAGATGTAGTTTATCTCTTTCTGTAAATAATTCTGCCTGCCATTTTGTGTGTTTAACCTGATAATTAATTAATAGTTGATACTTTTTCGTCATGCCTGAAATAGCATATAAGCATTTTTTGCCGCTAGAAAAGCTGCCATGTGTTGATAAAGAAATCATATTCGAAAGGTGCATTATTTCATAAAACATACATAAATATGACTATTCTAATACATTCTTTCAGAATTTGATATCTCAATCACAATAATTATCCTTGAGTGTGTCTACTCAAAAAGAAAATAATTAATTACGATACATCCCAAATGATAAAAGTGAGACATTTCTAGATCATGTTAATATTCGCTCTCGAATTGCTTACGTTCACACAATTATTGTACATATTCACATAAGGTGCTGCTTAATGCTTTATTGCAAACTCGGGAGATTATATATTTTCTAGTCAATTACCTTACACTTTTATTTTAAGTCATTTTTAGACACGCTACTTTTTTGTATCGTATTAAAAGTGTAATCTTTCAAAGGTCTTTAAGCTAGTTGAAAATACCCATCCATGTAACAACTGCAAAGTAACTAGTGCTTTAATTATTACTAAAAACTAACTTAAGCTGCTTAAAACTTAATTGTTTCACATTACACAAAATGCACAGCAAATTTAGCAACACCTTATTGCAATTTTATTCATGTACTCTGCAGTAATATTTTTTAATACAATTAGTTGATTTTAACTTGTTAAGTTATTGTGTCATTGTTTATCAAATGTTAATTATTAAAGTAATAAATATCGGAATATTATGCTTTCATATTACGCTTCTCTGTTTCATGCAATTAAATATGCTAGAATTTCTTTTAAAAACATTGTAAAACTTTTACAAAACTCATATCCAGTTTTTACAAACATCATTATTTTAGTAAACTGTTGAATTCTAGTCGTTATTTACTTGTAATTTAAAGAAATATAGTAATCGAAAGAAACATAATCTGTCACGGATTCTTAAGTTTTTTTTAATTTGTAAGCTGCAAAATAATTTACTGTGACAGTTTAGTAGCTCAAAATACAAGTTGTTATAAATATAAAATTAGCTTTTATTCTTACTCAATTATAATTGTAAGCTATTTAGAACTCTCTCGTACTGTTCACTAAATTACATATC